AATGTGATCTACCATCACTAATGTTGCCATAATGTGATCTACCATCACTAATGTTGCCATAATCTACTCTCACTAATGTTGCCATAATGTGATCTACCCTCACTAATGTTGCCATAATGTGATCTACCATCACTAACGTTGCCATAATGTGATCTACCATCACTAACGTTGCCATAATGTGATCTACCATCACGAATGTTGCCATAATGTGATCTACCTTCACTAATGTTGCCATAATGTGATCTACCATCACTAATGTTGCCATAATGTGATCTACCTTCACTAATGTTGCCATAATGTGATCTACCATCACTAATGTTGCCATAATGTGATCTACCATCACTAATGTTGCCATAATGTGATCTACCATCACTAATGTTGCAATAATGTGATCTACCATCACTAATGTTGCAATAATGTGATCTACCATCACTAATGTTGCCATATGTTGCCAGGGTCGAGGGAGGCGCCGACCAGCAGTGGCAACCCGCCCTCAGCTTCGCCTGTCATCACTACGTCCCTCCTGGCCCTCACGGCTGCCCTCCCCCTGACCCTCCACTAGCTGCCCTCCCCCTGACCCTCCACCAGCTGCCCTCCCCCTGACCCTCCACTAGCTGCCCTCCCTCTGACCGTCCACCAGCTGCCCTCCCCCTGACCCTCCACTAGCTGCCCTCCCCCTGACCCTCCACTAGCTGCCCTCCCCCTGACCCTCCACTAGCTGCCCTCCCCCTGACCCTCCACCAGCTGCCCTCCCCCTGACCCTCCACTAGCTGCCCTCCCTCACACCCTCCACTAGCTGCCCTCCCCCTGACCCTCCACCAGCTGCCCTCCCCTGACCCTCCACCAGCTGCCCTCCCCCTGACCCTCCACCAGCTGCCCTCCCCCTGACCCTCCACCAGCAGCCCTCCCTCTGACCCTCCACTAGCTGCCCTCCCCCTGACCCTCCACTAGCTGCCCTCCCCCTGACCCTCCACTAGCTGCCCTCCCCCTGACCCTCCACTAGCTGCCCTCCCCTGACCATCCATTAGCTGCCCTCCCCCTGACCCTCCACTAGCTGCCCTCCCCTGACCCTGCACTAGCTGCCCTCCCCCTGACCCTCCACCAGCAGCCCTCCCCCTGACCCTCCACTAGCTGCCCTCCCCCTGACCCTCCACTAGCTGCCCTCCCCTGACCCTCCACTAGCTGCCCTCCCCCTGACCCACCACTAGCTGCCCTCCCCCTGACCCACCACTAGCTGCCCTCCCCCTGACCATCCACTAGCTGCCCTCCCCCTGACCCTCCACTAGCTGCCCTCCCCCTGACCCTGCACTAGCTGCCCTCCCCCTGACCCTCGACTAGCTGCCCTCCCCCTGACCCTCCACCAGCTGCCCTCCCCCTGACCCACCACTAGCTGCCCTCCCCTGACCCACCACTAGCTGCCCTCCCCTGACCCTCCACTAGCTGCCCTCCCCCTGACCCTCCACTAGCTGCCCTCCCCCTGACCCTTCACCAGCTGCCCTCCCCCTGACCCTCCACTAGCTGCCCTCCCCCTGACCCTCCACTAGCTGCCCTCCCTCACACCCTCCACTAGCTGCCCTTCCCCTGATCCTCCACTAGCTGCCCTCTCCCTGACCCTCCACTAGCTGCCCTCCCCCCTGACCCTCCACTAGCTGCCCTCCCCCTGACCCTCCACCAGCTGCCCTCCCCCTGACCCTCCACCAGCTGCCCTCCCCCTGACCCTCCACCAGCTGCCCTCCCTCTGACCCTCCACCAGCTGCCCTCCCCCTGACCCTCCACTAGCTGCCCTCCCCTGACCCTCCACTAGCTGCCCTCCCCCTGACCCTCCACTAGCTGCCCTCCCCCTGACCCTCCACCAGCTGCCCTCCCCTGACCCTCCACTATCTGCCCTCCCTCACACCCTCCACTAGCTGCCCTCCCCCTGACCCTCCACCAGCTGCCCTCCCCCTGACCCTCCACCAGCTGCCCTCCCCCTGACCCTCCACCAGCTGCCCTCCCCCTGACCCTCCACCAGCAGCCCTCCCCCTGACCCTCCACTAGCTGCCCTCCCCCTGACCCTCCACTAGCTGCCCTCCCCCTGACCCTCCACTAGCTGCCCTCCCCCTGACCCTCCACTAGCTGCCCTCCCCCTGACCATCCACTAGCTGCCCTCCCCCTGACCCTCCACTAGCTGCCCTCCCCCTGACCCTGCACTAGCTGCCCTCCCCCTGACCCTGCACTAGCTGCCCTCCCCCTGACCCTCCACCAGCAGCCCTCCCCCTGACCCTCCACTAGCTGCCCTCCCCCTGACCCTCCACTAGCTGCCCTCCCCCTGACCCTCCACTAGCTGCCCTCCCCCTGACCCACCACTAGCTGCCCTCCCCCTGACCCACCACTAGCTGCCCTCCCCCTGACCATCCACTAGCTGCCCTCCCCCTGACCCTCCACTAGCTGCCCTCCCCTGACCCTGCACTAGCTGCCCTCCCCCTGACACTCGACTAGCTGCCCTCCCCCTGACCCTCCACCAGCTGCCCTCCCCCTGACCCACCACTAGCTGCCCTCCCCCTGACCCACCACTAGCTGCCCTCCCCCTGACCCTCCACTAGCTGCCCTCCCCCTGACCCTCCACTAGCTGCCCTCCCCCTGACCCTTCACCAGCTGCCCTCCCCCTGACCCTCCACTAGCTGCCCTCCCCCTGACCCTCCACTAGCTGCCCTCCCTCACACCCTCCACTAGCTGCCCTCCCCCTGCAACCCGTTCTCGCAAATTTAATAAGTCAATATTGACTTATTAAATATGTGCATAGGTGACATACTTAACATAATAGTTTCCCTTGAAAAGCTTCATAGAAAACACCGACCTTACCTAACCTACTTAGTATGTTAAGATAAGCATCTTATTGCTTCATAATTACAATTATTACCTAACCTATACCTATAATAGGTTAAGTAACAATTGTAATTACGAAGCTATAAGATGCTTATTTTAACATACTAAGTAGGTTAGGTGAGGTCGGTGTTTTCTATGAAGCTTTTCAAGGGAAACTATTATGTTTAGTATGTCACCTATGCACGCAACTAATAAGTCAATATTGACTTATTAAATTTGCGAGAACGGGTTGCCCCCTGACCCTCCACCAGCTGCCCTCCCCCTGACCCTCCACCAGCTGCCCTCCCCCTGACCCTCCACCAGCTGCCCTCCCCCTGACCCTCCACCAGCTGCCCTCCCCCTGACCCACCACTAGCTGCCCTCCACCTGACCCTCCACTAGCTGCCCTTCCCCTGATCCTCCACTAGCTGCCCTCTCCCTGACCCTCCACTAGCTGCCCTCCCCCCTGACCCTCCACTAGCTGCCCTCCCCCTGACCCTCCACCAGCTGCCCTCCCCCTGACCCACCACTAGCTGCCCTCCCCCTGACCCACCACTAGCTGCCCTCCACCTGACCCTCCACTAGCTGCCCTCCCCCCTGACCCTCCACTAGCTGCCCTCCCCCTGACCCACCACCAGCTGCCCTCCCCCTGACCCACCACCAGCTGCCCTCCCCCTGACCCACCACCAGCTGCCCTCCCCCTGACCCACCACCAGCTGCCCTCCCCCTGACCCACCACCAGCTGCCCTCCCCCTGACCCACCACCAGCTGCCCTCCACTTAAATAAACATTAAGCTCTAGTCAGTCTTCTTGTATTATGTTACTGAACAATAAATTACATAAAATATCTCTGTTTTCTCATTTTCCAAATGCTGGTCACGTGAACAATGACGCAGATGTCGTGAACAATGATGCTGGTACCGTGAACAATGTCATATGAGCTGAGAACAGTTCATGAACATGACAATAGCCATATATGTAGCCACTATGTATGCACTGCGAGGCTGCGACTCATCCTCCGAATTGACAGTACGATTTAATACTAAGTACATTTCCTGACTGTCATACATAGTACATAATTGCACTTATGGGGCTGTTACATTTACCTCCCCATTTAATTCTCCTCGTTTTCTGTTAAGACTCAGATTTTAGGATGAAGTTTTCAAGTTCAGTTCGAAGCGAAGTGAAAATGTCCCAATAGCTGGCCAGCGCGGGATGGACCAAGAGGGCGAGGAGGCTGAAATCTTGAGCGAGGAACTGTAGACGAGGTGAAGAGTGGAGATGAAAGATCGGCGGCCCAACCACCGCGGGTGAGACTCCGAGCTGGTGCTGTGGTGCTGTGGTGCGGTGGTAAGGTGGAGTTCTCACGGCTGCTCGCTGATGTGTCCGGCAGGAGGCCGGGCTCCTCGTCGCTGTGTTCTTCACAGCATTACGTCGCTGTTCTTCTTCTTCCCCAGGCCCCTTGGCCGGTCTGTTGGTCTTGCGACGCGTTAACATGGTGAGGCTGTCGCTGGAGGTCCTGCAGGGAACCTTCGGTGGTGTAGGGGTGCTCCGTGGAGGTGTTCCCACCGAGACGTCCTCATCCGATGAGTCGGGTGACTCAGAAGCAGAGTCGGTGGATCTTGAGGGATGAGTTCTTGCTTGTTGAGGCTTCATGGGACCTGCAGCTGATGTAGAACGTTGAGAGGGTTCTCACACGAGAGGTGCAGCTGTGGCAGTTGTCCATGGAGGAGGCGTCTGGGTGGCTTGTGATAATATTGCAGGAGGAGCAGCAGGCGTTGCAGCTGTTGCAACCCGTCCTCGACTCAAGTCCATTACACCCAGCGGTCGACCCCACAGACACATTCATAAATCTTAATATGCTGTTCATTCAAAACGGGAATTTTCTCAAGTATAAATTAATATTATAATATATTAGCATATTGTGTATATATAGGCATAGGTTAGGTGAGGTGTTTAGGTTCTGTTGGCGATTATTTGTATTTGTAGTACGTGGGTGAAGCATTTATAGCGTTGTGGTTCGAACAAAATTCGTCAGTGAAGCACTTGTTCCGGATATGTTCGAACGTCAGCAGTTGTGAGTCGTGTGTAAGCCGCTTTTCATTCATAAACAGGGGGTTTGGCGGGTGCATGGAATCACTTTTGGATCTTTGTTTGGAGGACGGGCTGGCTGTTGACAGTAGATCCGTGAGCCCGGCAGCGTTCACAGTGACGTCAGGGACCGGATCTGGATCTTGAGAACTCGAGGGTAAGTGGTGTTGGTGTAAACTTCATCAGGAACGGTGAAAGCTGGAAGACCATTGGCTTTGTAGAGAATATTTAATATTCTTACATATTCCTGGGGGCTATTGCCAGCTATCATACTGGCAGCTGATGTTAACGCTTGAACGGTGCCGTACAGTGGTTGGTTGGAGTGGCTGGAGGTGCCGGCGGCTGGCTCCATGAGTGGCTGCTTGGTTGGGGCTATTAGCTGTACACAAGTTTTAAATAATAGGAATTTCTTTTTCAGTTTTATTAAACAATAGAAATTTTACACAAAATTTGAAAATATCTTGAGTTATTTTACAATTTATTTAAATATTTTGGTTTTGTTTTACTTATTTTATAAAACTGTAATATCAATATAGGTATAGAGCTAAGTACTAATTGTAATTAGGAAGCAATAAAATGCTTATTTTCAAAAACTTAGACGGTTAGGTTAGGTCATGGTTTTCTATTCAGCTTTTCAGGTAAACTCAAATATTCACAATATATTTGAGAGTACGGTTTAATACTACGTGTAAATAAGTACAATTCCGGACTGTCATACATAGTACATAATTGCACTTATGATCCTGTTACATTTACCTCCCAATTTTTAGAGGACGGGCTGGCGATTATGTGCTCTTGAGACTCTTTCATTCACCTCCAGACACTGTTGAACACCGGGGTGACGCTGCTCTTGGCCTCCAGACACTCTTGAACACCGGGGTGACGCTACTCTTGGCCTCCAGACACTGTTGAACACCGGGGTGACGTTACTCTTGGCCTCCAGACACTGTTGAACACCGGGGTGACGCTACTCTTGGACTCCAGACACTCTTGAACACCGGGGTGACGCTACTCTTGGCCTCCAGACATTGTTGAACACCGGGGTGACGCTACTCTTGGCCTCCAGACATTGTTGATCACCGGGGTGACGCTACTCTTGGCCTCCAGACATTGTTGATCACCGGGGTGACGCTACTCTTGGCCTCCAGACACTGTTGAACACCGGGGTGACGCTACTCTTGGCCTCCAGACATTGTTGAACACCGGGGTGACGCTACTCTTGGCCTCCAGACATTGTTGAACACCGGGGTGACGCTACTCTTGGCCTCCAGACATTGTTGAACACCGGGGTGACGCTACTCTTGGCCTCCAGACATTGTTGAACACCGGGGTGACGCTACTCTTGGCCTCCAGACATTGTTGAACACCGGGGTGACGCTACTCTTGGCCTCCAGACATTGTTGAACACCGGGGTGACGCTACTCTTGGCCTCCAGACATTGTTGATCACCGGGGTGACGCTACTCTTGGCCTCCAGACATTGTTGATCACCGGGGTGACGCTACTCTTGGCCTCCAGACATTGTTGAACACCGGGGTGACGCTACTCTTGGCCTCCAGACATTGTTGAACACCGGGGTGACGCTACTCTTGGCCTCCAGACATTGTTGATCACCGGGGTGACGCTACTCTTGGCCTCCAGACACTGTTGATCACCGGGGTGACGCTACTCTTGGCCTCCAGACACTCTTGAACACCGGGGTGACGCTACTCTTGGCCTCCAGACACTCTTGAACACCGGGGTGACGCTACTCTTGGCCTCCAGACACTCTTGAACACCGGGGTGACGCTACTCTTGGCCTCCAGACACTCTTGAACACCGGGGTGACGCTACTCTTGGCCTCCAGACACTGTTGAACACCGGGGTGACGCTACTCTTGGCCTCCAGACACTGTTGAACACCGGGGTGACGCTACTCTTGGCCTCCAGACACTGTTGAACACCGGGGTGACGCTACTCTTGGCCTCCAGACATTGTTGAACACCGGGGTGACGCTACTCTTGGCCTCCAGACACTGTTGAACACCGGGGTGACGCTACTCTTGGCCTCCAGACACTGTTGAACACCGGGGTGACGCTACTCTTGGCCTCCAGACATTGTTGAACACCGGGGTGACGCTACTCTTGGCCTCCAGACACTGTTGAACACCGGGGTGACGCTACTCTTGGCCTCCAGACACTCTTGAACACCGGGGTGACGCTACTCTTGGCCTCCAGACACTCTTGAACACCGGGGTGACGCTACTCTTGGCCTCCAGACACTCTTGAACACCGGGGTGACGCTACTCTTGGCCTCCAGACACTGTTGAACACCGGGGTGACGCTACTCTTGGCCTCCAGACACTCTTGAACACCGGGGTGACGCTACTCTTGGCCTCCAGACATTGTTCAACACCGGGGTGACGCTACTCTTGGCCTCCAGACATTGTTGAACACCGGGGTGACGCTACTCTTGGCCTCCAGACATTGTTGAACACCGGGGTGACGCTACTCTTGGCCTCCAGACACTGTTGAACACCGGGGTGACGCTACTCTTGGCCTCCAGACATTGTTGAACACCGGGGTGACGCTACTCTTGGCCTCCAGACATTGTTGAACACCGGGGTGACGCTACTCTTGGCCTCCAGACACTGTTGAACACCGGGGTGACATTACTCTTGGCCTCCAGACATTGTTCAACACCGGGGTGACGCTACTCTTGGTCTCCAGACATTGTTGAACACCGGGGTGACGCTTCTAAGGCAGGCGACGTGTGTGTACTCGCCTATTTGTGTTTGCACGATCGAGCTCTATCTCTTGGACCCGCTTTTTTACCCGTTGGTTGTCTAATGCTAATTACTCCTCCGGGCCTGTTTACCTTTTATACCTCCTTGTAAAGGTATGAGTGGAGTTAGCCCTCCATGTGTGTGTTTGTGTGTGTGTGTGTGTGTGTGTGTGTGTGTGTGTGTGTGTGTGTGTGTGTGTGTGTGTGTGTGTTTACTACTTGTGTGTGTGTGTGTGTGTCAACTGTGTGTGTACTCACCTAGTTGTGCTTGCGGGGGTTGAGCTCTGGCTCTTTGGTCCCGCCATTCAACCGTCAATGAATAGGTGTACAGGTTCCTGAGCCTATTGGGCTCTATCATATCTACACTTGAAACTGTGTATGGAGTCAGCCTCCACCACATCACTTCCTAATGCATTCCATTTCTCAACCACTCTTTCACTAAAAAAGTTCTTTCCAATATCTCTGTGGCTCATTTGGGCACTCAGTTTCCACCTGTGTCCCCTTGTACGTGTTCCTCTTGTGTTAAATAGCCTGTCTTTATCTACCCTATCAATTCCCTTCAGAATCTTGAATGTGGTGATCATGTCCCCCTAACTCTTCTGTCTTCCAGCGAAGTGAGGTTTAATTCCCGTAGTCTCTCGTAGCTCATACCTCTCAGCTCGGGTACTAGTCTGGTGGCAAACCTTTGAACTTTTTCCAGTTTATTCTTATGCTTTACTAGATATGGACTCCATGCTGGAGCCGCATACTCCAAGATTGGTCTGACATATGTGATATATAATGTTCTGAAAGACTGCTTACACAAGTTCCTAATGGCCGTTCTTATGTTAGCCAACCTGGCATATGCCGCTGATGTTATCCTCTTGATATGAGCTTCAGGGGACAGGTCTGGCGTGATATCAACCCCCAGGTCTTTCTCTCTCTCTGACTCCTGAAGTATTTCATCTCCCAAATGATACCTTGTATCTGGTCTCCTGCTTCCTACCCCTATCTTCATTACATTACATTTGCTTGGGTTAAACTCTAACAACCATTTGTTCGACCATTCCTGCAGGTTGTCCAGGTCTTCTTGAAGCCTCAAGCTGTCCTCCTCTGTCTTAATCATTCTCATAATTTTGGCGTCGTCAGCAAATATTGAGAGGAATGAGTCTATACTCTCTGGGAGATCATTTACGTATATCAAAAACAGGATAGGACCGAGTACAGAGCCCTGTGGGACTCCACTGGTGACTTCACACCATTCTGAGGTCTCACCCCTCACTGTAACTCTCTGCTTCCTATTGCTTAGGTACTCCCTTATTCACTGGAGCGCCCTACCAGTTACTCCTGCCTGTTTCTCCAGCTTATGCATCAACCTTTTATGGGGTACTGTGTCAAAGGCTTTCCGACAGTCCAAAAAAATGCAATCCTCTCAGCCTTCTCTTTCTTGCTTAATCTTTGTCACCTGATCGAAGAATTCTATCAAGCCTGTAAGGCAAGATTTACCCTCCCTGAACCCATGTTGATGGGTTGTCACGAAGTCTCTTCTCTCCAGATGTGTTACTAGGTTTTTTCTCACAATCTTCTCCATCACCTTGCATGGTATACAAGTCAAGGATACTGGCCTGTAGTTCAGTGCCTCTTGTCTGTCGCCCTTTTTGTATATTGGGACCACATTCGCCGTCTTCCATATTTCTGGTAGGTCTCCCGTCTCCAGTGACCTACTATACACTATGGAGAGTGGCAAGCAAAGTGCCTCTGCACACTCTTTCAATACCCATGGTGAGATTATGTCCGGCCCAACAGCTTTTCTCACATCCAGCTCCAATAGGTGCCTCTTGACCTCATCTCTTGTAATTTCGAACCTATCCAAGGTCACCTGATTTGCTGCCACCTCTCCTAGCGCCGTGACCTCTCCTTGTTCTATTGTAAAGACCTCCTGGAACCTTTTGTTGAGTTCTTCACACACCTCTTTGTCATTCTCTGTGTACCTGTCCTCGTCCACCCTAAGTTTCATCACCTGTTCCTTCACAGTTGTCTTCCTCCTGATGTGACTGTGTAGTAGCTTTGGTTCGGTCTTGGCTTTATTAGCTATATCATTTTCATACCTTTTCTCAGCTGCTCTTCTCACACTGACATACTCGTTCCTGGTTCTCTGGTATCTCTCTCTACTTTCTGGTGTTCTGTTATTACGGAAGTTCCTCCATGCCCTTTTGTTCAGCTCCTTTGCTTTCATACATTCCTTATTAAACCACGGATTCTTCCTTTGCTTCTCTGTTTTTTCCTGTCGGGCTGGGACAAACCTGCTTACAGCCTCCTGACATTTTTGGGTGACATAGTTCATCATGTCTTGTACGGACTTGGTTCCGAGTTCTGTGTCCCAATGTATATCCTTTAGGAATTTATTCATTTCCTCA